TAGCTCTCGCGTGGTCGGTCATACTTGACTATAGGTGGAATATTTTAGGTCGCCAGCGTAATCTTATAGCCCTTATTTTCCAAAATACCTAACTAAGACTAAAAGGGGTAGAAAAGATTAGCTTCACGCTATACGCACATATGACATAATAATAAGTCATGATATTTTTACTAATAGGAGGTGGTGATAATAGAGGTGGTGATAGAGGTGGTGGTAGAGGTAGTGGAGGTAGTAGAGGTAGTGGAGGTGGTGGAGGTGGTAGAGGTGGTGGAGGTGGTGGAGGTGGTGGAGGTAGTGGAGGTGGTGGAGGTGGTGATAGAGGTGGTGATAGAGGTGGTGATAGAGGTGGTGATAGAGGTGGTGATAGAGGTGGTGATAGAGGTAGTGGAGGTAGTGGAGGTAGTGGAGGTAGTGGAGGTAGTGGAGGTAGTGGAGGTGGTGGAGGTGGTGGAGGTGGTGATAGAGGTGGTGATAGAGGTGGTGATAGAGGTAGTAAAGAAGATTAAAGAAAGGAGGGGTAAAATACTTAAATAGTTAGTAGGAAACTAGTTATTACTAATACTAGTAGATTAATAGAAGTAGAAATAAAAGTAGTTTACTTTTGTGGAATACATGGTATAATAAACCCTATTTAGGTTTACTTCTTCTACCTAAACCACTTCTTGGTCTACTTTAGATAAATATGGCTACTGTAAACCGGTTTTGTACTATAGTGATTGTTGCAGGAAGAATATCAAACCGGATCACGGAGCATCTTGATCCGATCAACCGATCTGAATCCCGATCAATATCCCTAATCCATACCCCTGGCTGATCCACTATCTGATCAACTGCCAGCTCACTGCCAAGTGCCTAACAGAAAAAGGAGCTCTAGTAAGGAAGGTTTACCGATCATACACCTTCTGGTAAGGGTAGTTGAAGCTCTATTTATATGAGTCCTATCGTAGTAGATACAATCTAATGATCCATCTCCCAAATCATTCCTGAGCTCAGTGATCCAAACTTCCATAACGACTTAAAGGCATATAGGAGTGCGCGTCTATACAGGAAGGAATATAATTGTCAGGCCATGGCGTGCGCGCGCATGGACTGACTATAGGTTGGGCGCCCATATATACTATTCTATTCGTGAATAATCCATTCATGGATTATACACACCTTTTTGGTTGTTTGGCGCAGTGGGAATAGACACCATGTCCTAACAGTAATTACTACACCTATAAGTCTTGTATAAAAGGATAAGAAGTACTTATCTATCTATAAGTATAAGGCTCCTTTTATATCTAGAGGTAGAGGGGCCTTAGACTAAAGTTAGAGCCGTATTAGAGCTGTATTAGGGCTAATAATATCTTAGCTAGTCTAATAAGAAAAACTAGAATTAGTGCTTGCACTTGTTATAGTTTATATTATACCTTTAATAAAGCTTAGAAAAATAGTACGCTAGTTTCTTTTAAGTTACTGTTAGGACATAGGGCTCTACTAACCCTACTAACCTAAGCATAGGCTAGAGTGGCCTAAGCTAGGTATATTATATAATTATAGGTAGTATAAATACCTATATGAATTAATATATATAGTATTAATTTATTTAATATTTAATTAATACTTATTATCTGTAATAATAAGGCAGAATTGCTTGCCTATTGTTCTATGCTAAGTTAGGCCTAATAAAGGCCCAACTTACTAATATATAGAGAACAGCTCGCCTATAGTTAAGATAGGTATGTTCTTCTTATCCTTTTATACAAGACCTATAGGTGTAGGAATCTTATCCTTTTTTATATAGACGCGCACTCCTATATACCTTTAAGTTATATAGGATACCTTTTAGATACCCTACCTACCTAAGTTATTATATTATAAGAAGAATATTATCCGAGCTAGTAATAGTATTTAAGAATATTGCATTTATTATTATTTTAAGCTACTAATTTAGTTCTAGTAGCTATCTAACCCTGTAACTCTATAGTTAGAATAGCTATTAGAACTTCTAATAACTAAAGCCTATAGGCTTAGACTTCTAGACCTATAAGTAGTGCTAGATTACCTTTAGAAAAATCGCGTTAGATTGCGTTAAGGTAGAGACCTAGAGACTACTAAAATTCTAGAGGAATTAGAGGCAAAGCTAATATCCTTTTATAACTAACCCCCCTAAAGAAAAGATTTAGTATTCTTATTAACTACAAAATATTAGATAAAGGCAAAGGAAGGGTATCTAGTTTAGCTACCTTTAAAAGCCTATTTACTAATAAAAAGAAATTAGAGAAGGAGGACTTAATTAATAACGCCCTCCTAGAAGGACCTACTTCCTACCTATCTCTAGAGGTACCTTATACTCCTAGGAAATCTTAAAGTAACACCTCCCTTAAAGATAAATATATATTAACCCTATCTAAAAAGGAGAGGTTAGAGGAATAAGTAAAATAATTTACTAATTAGTTATATAACACCTCCCTCTATAAGGAGATATAGGGTACTACCTAACCTAGCTAATCTTTAGCTTCTATATTAAACCCTATAGTATATACTATAAAAGCTAAAAGATAATCTAAAAAGATACTAAATATCTCTATACTTAGTAATAGTACTAATCCTACTTTTAGATAATAGTAAGCATCTATTTAGGATAGGCTAGAGATTAACACTAATTACTACCCCTTTTCTAGAGTGTAGATAGCTTTAGTCTAGGGACACTACTTAGGACTAGCAAGAGAGTACTTAGAGCTATATTACCTATCTAACTCCCTAAGTCTATAGTTCTAAAAAGCTAAGGAAATAGTTACCCTCTTTTAAACTTACTTTATTACTAGAAATAAGATAGCTAAGAGTTAGATTATATTTAACCGCCTATATATAACTAATATAGAGACGTTCCCTACTTTTAAATTATAATTCTAGAGTCTTGCTATTAGAGGAGAAGTACCCTAATTAGAGTAGTATTACTACCTCTAGATAAAGATTACACCTTCCCTAAGGATACTAAACCTTACTTTCTAACAAAATTAGTATAATAATTTTAAGACTATAATAATTATCTTACTACTTTTAATATAGAACGCTACCTATACCCTACCTTATCTACTCCTATATAGACTACTCTATTATCTAGAAAAGAACTAACCCCCTTCTAATACTCTAGAAACTAGTCCTATTTAGACGCTAATTAGAAACCTAATAATAGACCTTTAATAGCTAAACCTTATATGCTATACTTATAATAATAAGGCACTACCCCTTAAAATAATTAACCCCTATCTACTAGTCTAGCTAATCCTAGCGCTACTATAATAGTAACCCTAGGAACTTACTATAATTATAGGAAGCCTAGGCACTTCTCTAGTAACTGCCCTAAACCCCCTAGGATTTAGGCTATAGATATAGAATAGGTTATTATAGAAATTTAGATTACTAAAGTTAGGAATAATTTAGGAGATAGATTATTAGATTATCTCTACTACGATCAGACTTATATATATAGAGCTTTAGCTACCTTTACTAGAAGGTGTGTGATTAGTAAACCTTCCTTACTAGAGCTCCTTCTCTTGTTAGGCACTTAGCACTAAGCTAGCAGTTAATTAGATAGTGGGTTATACATAGGTATTAACTAGGATTAATTAGGATTAATTGGGATTAAGATACTCCGTAATCTGGTTGTTATCCTTCCTGCAACAGTTATTAAAAATTCTAAGGAAGAAGAAACTGCTAAATTAACTAATTTAGATAGCTATTAGATAGGAAATAATAACGCCTAGGAGGATCCTCCTTCCTAGGCCTAACTTAATATAACTTATCTAACCTTTCCTTAACTAAATTAATTATTTATTAGTTCCTATTTGCTTGCCTATATAACCCTATACCTTAACAGATCTAGTGTTTACCTAAACGCTTTAGTAGTTACTAGGGCCTAAGGTTACTTATTTCTTAATTTAAAAATTGCTTATAATATTTCTTCTACGCTTAGGGTACCTATCTAAAAGCTACCCTATAAGCTTACTATTAAAGGGTTCTAGGATTAGATTACCTCCCTAGTTACCTACTATATTTAGCTTTATATAATAGTTAGTAGCTAAAAGGTGTATAACTGCCCCTTTATAATAGTAGACTTAGGTTCTTAGGATTATATTATTAGACAATACTAGCTAAAATATTTCTAAATCCTAATTAATATAGATAAATCTTAACTAATCTAGCTAGAGAAATATCCTCTAACCTACGACCGCGCACCTCTAATTCTAGTACAACTCTACTAGGAACTGCTATCTACTCTAGTTACCTATAATATCTTGCGAAGAGACGCCCTTTAGGATTAAGAGGAGAACTAGAACTAAAATAGTCCTAGTTTAATTAATAGGATACGTAGTATACTTAAAATTCTAGCTGCTTATAGGGCTGCTACTAAACCTATTACGCTACCTACCCTAGTCTAATTGCTAACTGTTACCCTACCCGCAAAATTCTAAATTGCTACTATTTCTACTAATACTTTCTATTTTAATATAAAAAAATCTTCTAATAAATTCTTTACTACTAGCCTATATAAGATTAAGCGTAGGATCTAAACCCTATTTAAATAGGACACTCTTAACTATAGCTTGTTAGATTAGAAGCTCCTATCTAACTATAACTCCTATTAGGATGTCTTTAATAAGGCTAAGGCTAATAAACTTCTAATCTACTAGCCTTATAACTATAAGATAGTCCTAGAGGAACCCCTTTTAAACTACTAGAGTCCCCTCTATTATTAAAATACTAAGGAACTCTAGGCTACTAAGGAATATATATAAGAGCACCTACAGAAAGGCTTTATTAAGACTAGTTAGAGCCTATTTACCTCTCCTATCCTATGCGTTAAGAAGCTAAATAGAGGCCTTAGGATCTGTGTAGATTACTATAAGCTTAACAGCTTAACGTAAAAGGACGTATATCTAATACCCTATATAGATAATCTTTTATCCTATCTAGCTAAAGCAAAAATCTTTATAAAATTAGATATTTGTGCTGCCTTTAATAAGATCTAAATAGACCCTAACTTAGAGGAGTACACTACTTTCTATACTAGGTATAGTGCCTATAAATGCAAAGTCCTACTATTTAGGCTATATAGTAGACCTGCAACCTATTAGCGCTATATAAATAATATACTAATAGATTATTTAGATAACTTCTATATTACCTATCTAGATAATATCCTTATCTACTCTAAAGACCTTGCTACTTATAAGGACTATATTTAAAAAGTCCTTAAGTGTCTTTATTCTACTAGATTATAGGCTAATATTAAGAAAAGCGAATTCTATATAACCTGTACGTATTATATTAGATATATCCTTACTAATAAAGGCTTAGAGGTGGATCCTAATAAAGTTAAAGTACTCTAAAACTAGTCTGCTCCTAAGACAATAACTAGAGTAAAGTCCTTCCTAGGATTTACTAGATTCTACTAGCAATTTGTAGAAAATTTCTCTAAGATAGCTAAGCCCTTAACCGCTCTCTAGAGCCCTGCTAC